GTTGTTGGTTGGGTAACATGTTTATGACGTCACAAAAGATGCGAAGAATATTTAAACCAATCAGTGAAGTCTATATTAATTGTTTGTTTAGTTGTTGATGTGGCGATACGTGTCTGACGTCACAGGTGATTGCATCATATTCCAGTAACGCCATTTTACGACATTGCATAATTTTAGCTGATTTTGGCTTCATTTCACTTTATTTGAAAGACTTTTTAAAATATAATAATGAGTCAGTATTTTTTCTTATAAATATCAATATTTGAATTTGAGGTCAAAGTCCGAAAATTTGATCAACTGATTGAAATCACATTTTAAAGAGGTGAAGAAGTGAATAATTACAGGAGCAAACGTGATCAATGGTTCGAGGTCTCCCGCAAAGTAGTCGCTACGCTCCTACTTCGCGCTGCCTTCGGCAGAGGAGACCTCGAAAAAAAATATGGCAGTCATTTTTTGTACTTTTTATTTAATAAAGCGTCGCCTTAAAGCGATCAATCAGTGTGTATTTATTTTGTACAAATGTGTATTATACATGTATATATTTAATTTTTATTTAGCCTTTATTTATTTTTGTTGCCTCCAATACTGACAAGTAGCTAATTTATGCTGATTGAACAAAAATATGAACAAAAATTGTATAATTAGAATGTTACATACATTACATACTTAAAGGAGAGTGAGGATAATTATACACTTTTGATTACAAGTGTTCAATCAAAAACATATTGAACTCTTTCAGTGAAGAAATCATTTCTACTGACTTTTTTGCTGAAAGGTTTTATCATAATTATCCCAACGAACAAAGTTCGTTAGGGATATAGTGAAGCCCTCCGTCCATCCGTCCGTCTGTCCGTCAGTCCGTCCGTCTGTCCGGAAGATAACTCAAATACTAGTTGACAGATTTTCTTCATATTTAGTGGAAAGATGTATATTGGTGAATAGTTTTACGCAAAAAAAAAATTTTCAAGATGGCCGCCGCTTTAAAAATGACGGGACTTTTTCGCAAAAATCATAAATTTTTCATTCTAAACCAAAATAATTAATATTATTGTTTGAAATTTAGGTAGTGTATTCACAACATTTATCTATTTCACATATATTCCGTGTTTTTCATCCTGACCCCCAGGGGCCATGTATGGGGGGACAGGAAAACAGAAATTTTCGCTAATTTTTAGATCTTTCTGAAGTATAGCTTTATTATACTCAAATGAAAAGCAATTAAGAGTAGGTTGCAAATATTGTATCTTTTTTCTGATTCGAGCCTCGTAAAATTCAAAATGGCCGTCTAATGTACGATTTCGCAATAATTTTTCGATCCCTTCAAAGTATGGCTATATTATACTCAAATTGAAGGAATTTTGGAGTAGATCACAATTATGGTATTATTTTTCAGATTTGTACCTCAGAAAATTCAAAATGGCTGCTTTGCAGGAATTCGCAATTCTAAAATCTAATTTTTTCATTTTCAACCAAAGTAATGAGTATAATTGATTGGAATTCAGTAATTGATATTTTGTTCGTTGGGTTTTGCTACTCCGCGGAGTTGCCGTTATCTAGTTTTATCATAAACCATTTTGAAATGGAGTTACTTTGACTTTCATTATTTATTAGATCGAAAGGGACATTGACATATGCTATTTATAAACTCAATAAGGTTGTCACAATAGCTGTACTTAATGAGAACCTATTTATATTTATCAAGAAAATAAAGAATTATTCACAGGAGCAAGGAACTGTTCAATACATCACATTAGAGCCTATATACATGTAGCTTTGAAAACTTGTTGAAGTCTCGCTTTAAATGAGACTCTTAGTAGATTTCCCTATTTAACAATTACTGATTCTATTTGATGACATATTTGAACTGTGTTCAATATTCTGAGAGAAAATTAGATTTTTACAGTTATTTTCCTGTCTTGTTTTAGGAGTTTTCTGAAAAAGGTTATCTACATTGACAAGATGTTAAAAATTAAAAGTTAGTCTTGTTATTCAAGAATCATAATTGGTAGAATGGAATCACAATCTGCATGTCAACAAGATCATGGAGTTGCAATCAAATAAAGTTTTATATAACATCCAACTGGAAATACAGTATTTGATCAATTCACAAATAAAGTAGCATTTCACTTTTCTCCATTTAAAGTCATCGTATTATCGGAGCTCCTCCAAAACTACTATTTCCATCTGTTCGTCCTGTATAGCAAGTCCTCTTATTGGCTCATAATCAATTTTCCTTCAGTTCATGGTCGGTTGGGTCTGAGGCAGGCCTTATGATCATAGCCATAATAGCAACTATATCCCACTATTATCTGAAGGAGAATGCTCTCAGTAATCTTTTAAATTATAAACAACATCATTCACTCAGGACAAAGTGCATTTCATCCATGGATATTTCTTGAATTGTAATTATTGACATTATATGATAATATTAATAATGTATATTATTATTTCCATGCCGTGATACTCATTCTCTCATTGGTCAATTAGATACCATGTGACTAAAAATATATAGAGGTATTCCATGTCTCCCTGCTGAGAAAACGTGTGAAGAGTGTATTCACTGGCAATGACGTCATTTTTAGTGAATACCACTATATATTCAATTAAAATGACGTCACATCACCCAATTCCCGGGAATTTATTATTAAAAAATATTTTCATCCGATATGACAGACGGTGAAGTTGTATCAGGAAGTCCTCCCAAGAAAAAGTTCAATACTGTATAACAAACGCAGGATAAAGATTTTACAAATGTACATGTATTCAAAAAGTCAACTCTTCAAAGCATGAAGACAATGGACTTTAACATGGAAGATCTGAATCTTATTTTTATATATTATGGTGTGACAGAGATCGTGATTTATAACAGAATATTGGCAAATGTTTCGAAATATGTTGAAACTAAACGTCATATTACAACAATATTGTGTACTTCTACTGCTACTTTAATGAGGAAATAATAAAACAAATATTGAATTCTGTGATCTTTTAATATCTGTATATATTTCTTAGGGATGTATTCACCTCTCCCTTCGGGCTGTGGTGAATACACCTTCAGAAATATATACCAAATATTCCATTCTATTGAGGTGAATACATGTTCATCTTTCCCTCAGTATATTTCCCACAGCCCGAATCTTCTAAAAATTAAGTGTATTTCTTTTAATCATTTAATACATAGATACAATACATGTGCTCATCAGAATAACCACTCTAACTACAGCCACTCTTGGATGCAAGATATTGCCATCTTTCATCCTCAAAAGTCACACGTGCAAGATGACTTGTGACATCACTGGTTTATAAACATCAAGAACATGGCAACGGATGCACAATTGCTATGAGTACCCAATATCCATGCTCATACTACAAATATGAGCTGTGACGTTATAACAATGAAATTGTTGCCGTGCGTATCCAAGTATTTTCTACAATATTGTTGTGACGTCATAACAAAAACATAACATCCGGGACTTTTTACCGTGGTATATACATCGTTGTGTATACAGTTGAAAACGAGGCTGCGGCTGGAGATTGCAGGAAACGATGAAATACACCCTAATATTTTTAATCATGTGATCAGTTCTTATCCAATGAGAAAGCGAGAAACATTTCAATGATATAATAAATACAGATATTCAACTCCACAGAATTCAATATTTGTTTGTGTTTTTTTTATACTGTTTGAGATTGGCATTGTTGCTCTCTATATACCAAGGTTAATAACCTCTACAAGCGTACCACAGTATTTCTATCAAAATGTTAATTTTATCAGAATGTAGACAAACATTAGATCGCAAAAATACTTAGTTAAATCATTTATGTAATGATTTTCTTTTCATTTTTAGCGCATTATTGCCTATGGAATTTTTTCTCACTTGTCATTATTTGTAAGGTAAAAATAAGACCGTAAACAGTGGAAATTTCCACTTTCCCATTGATAAATAATAAGTATTGATTGAGATAGCATGAACGAGCGGATGGTAATAATACGAAATGATTTCACCTGAACTGACTGATTGATACATTGTGTTTATTATGTCAATAGAAAAACACTGTTGAAGCAAATTTTGGTCCTTTTAAGCTCACATGGGTGAGGTTTTCAGTTTTTTCTCAGGTTTTATGCTCTTTTTTGTCATAACTCCACAAGTATTCCATCAATTTGCTTGAAAGGCACTTTATTTACAGGTTATCAATAATGTCTACATGTTTCGGCAAAATATTATCCCAACCTTTCAAAATGGCTGTCTCTTTTATCAGGTTTTCAGCAGTTTTTATTTCGTCATAACATGACACAAGTATTTCATCAATTTGCTTGAAATTGTACAGGTTCTTTAATTTATAGGTTATCAATAATATTTACAAGTTTCAGAAAAATAAATTGCAAAGATTCAAAATGACTGTCACTTTTACTGTTGAAAATCAGGTTTTCAGCTCTTTTTTCTTGAAATTATCAGTTATCCAAGCTATGTTTTAAATTTTAACTTATCAAGTACTTGTTCAAACTTACGATATCAACCAAATTTTATATGTTCGATTATTAGAAATCTAGAACCATTCACAAGTTTGAATTTCATTATTCTTTGAATCTTCACTTTCTGTAAACTAAGTTACCTTTTGTGCAGTAATTATACCACGCCTTAATCTCTATTACATTGTCATTTTTTGTTGGGTTTATTTGATCTTTAATAAGTCAATATAAGGTACACTGTTGCTTGTATCCCATTTGTCACTCAATAACACAGGACAAATCTTTTACACAAAACGAAATGCATAGGAGTCTCAATAGCCTTGTCCAAGGCTGTGTCTTTTTATTTTTTAAATTTTATTCTCACAGCCTTCTACCAATCACTTTGACATGTGCTTTATCGACTCTTATTTATTGTCGATCAACTTTAACCAATCAACGATGGCACTGCAGCGTTAGCTCATTATCTATGCACAGTCAAAACAAGATAATTGATGAATTGAATAAGAATACCTCTATTTCTGTTTTCCAGATTCAATGGGTCTACATAGGATGGAAAACCCAAGCAACAGTGACCAGTGTGTCTCCCTCCATCTTTACTCTCCCCCCTTCAATATGTGTAAGTGCTTTGACCAGAGGACAGGACACGTCGCAGAGACAAAGGTGACATTTTGGAGCCAGTTTGGGAACAGGACACCATTCAAAGTTGTAAGTAGATGAAAACCAGTTTTTCCTAAGACTTATGATATAATAGCAGTTTGTCATATTTATACTTTTTTGACATGTAGATTACAATTACTATAAGTACGCTATTGGTACACATTTGAAATCGCCAATATAATTAAGACGTCTATAAAGATCTCAGTCTTCGTTTAATATGTATTTCGACATCATTTATAATAATTTTTATATATTCTTCTTGCTATTATATTACGCAATTATTCGAACTGATTTTTTTTAAAATATCCTCTATGGTTATTCAATTCACAGCCCTTCGAAATAGCTCCCAATCGAATAAAAATACCCTAAAAGGCGTGTTCAACGTTTCAAGAAAGAACGAAACGAAATGGCCATGTAGTATGTAATAGTATATCTTTTGAAGTGTTCCATCAATGTTTATGATATTTTCAGTATACTACCCAAATTCATGGATCATCAATTCTATGCATAAATATTTACAAATAACGAACAGCGTATGACGTCACAATAGCTATTGTCGCAATCGTAATTATGAGTGACTCGTGTTCAACTCTGACTTATTCAGCCTGCGTATGGTACTTAAATGTAGATTCTGTGAGTTATATAGCAGTTTGTCATACAGTTGTTATATTGTTAGATTCGAAAGAGTCTCGCGAACATACTGAAACTATACTTATCAGTGATTCAGATGTAAACGTATCAGTCACGATGGATTTTGCACGAATATTAGGAGTGAAGCCTCGTCAAAATTACGTCATTTTTTACCACGATAGATATGTTCTGAGCCATCGAAGTCTTTTAAATTGCAATGAATCATCTCAAATTCTTATGGTCAACAATTAAGAAGATGTTTGTTCTACAAAAAAGTATATTTGATGACCTGATGGTGATATAAACCTCATAAATTCTACAAAATGTTGAAAATGTCCAAGTGAAGCCTTCGTGATAAAAATCCCCGTTAAAATCAATTGGGCATTTTTAATCTATGCGAGTGTGAGTATTTTAATATTTTTAGTCCTAAAAAATATTCTTCTCAGCTGCGCATCAGGTGATTATAATGTATTAAAAAATTAGAGACTCTATTTTAGTTTTTCACCTTTTAAAATGAATGATACCAGAGTCTGAACTAAATGTGCCTAGACCGTTTTGACGTCATTTTACACTCAAAATGGGGACTTTGTGTCCCCTTTCATCGGAATGAGAGAGAAAAGATTTTATTAATATAATTGGATAGCTTTTTTACTTGCCTGCGCATATTCCATAAATTACATTGGTACCAAATGATAGGGTAAACCATACTTCTTCATGGACATATACCGTATTCTTTGAGTCTTAAAGAATTGAGAAATTTCCGCGCTATAGGTTATAATACGCGAGAAAACATAAAAAGCGATTGATAAGTCCCGCATTAAAAGTTATCAGAACAAATTCTCTACAAATCATAACTTTCAATCATGATGAATTCTCATTTGAAATAAAGATGCACATTTCATTTTGATGTAATGATTATCTATTGATATTATTAATGATTATATCTTCTAGGATTTGCATATAAATTCATCAAAAATGGAAGATTAGTACAGTTTTCAATTTCAAAGTTTAGAATTTGTCTTGGTTTCCGTGTTTATTCAATTTAAATCGATGTTTTGGTTGAAGTTGCTTGGTTTGTTTCGAAAAACCTTTTCATCGATTCATTCCTTAGATTGAATGTAGGTAATAAAAATGTAATGTCATTTTCATAATTTTTTGTACATGCTTCATTGAAATTCGGAATAATGACGTTGTCGAATGTTCGTCAAATTGCGAGAATAGTCTTCATAACGTCACATTTCATGTGAAACGGGAGTGTGCACCAATAGCGTACTTATAGTAAATGTATTTTTTGTAGGAGGTCACTATTATTGTTACTAACAAACAGTTGGAATTTCATGAATGCTATTCTTAAAATTCTTGAGAAACAGGTTACTAGTATTTCAAAAACCCATCCACTTAGTTGGGCATTAATGAGTAAAAATATAGTGTGTATGATTGTTAACTTAATAATTTAGCAGAAAACCGCTATCATTTTACTTAATTTATTGGCAGCCATAATGGAAGTACAGAAATGTTTAATTTTGCTTTGATTTGTTTCTCTTGTATTACACTTATTACATGTGAACATGGGAAATATATCTTTGATAAAAATGCAAGGTGAATTCTCCCCCCCCCATTCATCATATTCATGTTCTTTAACCATATGGAGGTGAGATGTGTGAAGAGGGGAGGGGGGCACAAGGGTCATTAGGTTTTACTATACTGAATTTTGATTAATCAATAATACCTAGTATAGATAATATCAATATTCTACATGTATATAATAGGTGATGAACATCTGCTGGCAGTTCACCTTTCCATGACCCCATGATTACAAATGCAACATATAAAAAAATAATTATTCATGAAATTGGTATTCAATTACTGGCAACTTGGCTTTATTATCCTCAACACAGAAAGAGAACAGGACATAAATCATTTTGCACAGGCATACCAAATGAATTTGAAAATCAAATAATTTTTTCTTAAATTATATGCAAGTTAAATACTCAATTTCATTTACTTCAGAGTACAATACTCTGAAGTAAATGAAGTTGATTTATCTAATTTATTACCAGAGTGGTGAATCTACAGATATATCTGCATGTTGATATGTGTGCTTAAAATGCATTGATTTATTTATTTTATGGTATAATGTTGGTAGGTCAGTTGTACATCCTGCCTGTAATATTGTCAACCCATCAGCTCTGATTCTGCCTTTAACAGGTTAATGCAGAGTAAAAATGTTTTAAGCAATATCTCATCTTATTTTAGTGATTTAGAAAAAAAGCTTAAATTAATCCCACACAACAATAACATTACAATTCAACCCCCCCCCCCACCCCCCAGTCTTCTCCAAGTACAAATATAGCCCTACAATCATGATTTTACAGAAACTAACTTGTTTGACATGTTTGATGCGATCTCAAATGAATCTCAATACTTGTATTTGTATTTGCAGTTGAAAAAGCAAGATTCCCAGGCATGTTTCAGTGTGGAAGAAAATGCCGAAATTGATGCCAACACTTTGCCTTATTGTGGGAGTCCTATCACAGAGTGTGAAAACAACTAATAATAGTGAGACTTGATTTCATGCTGGCCAAGAGAAATATCTGTGATATTACAACTATACCAGGGAGCAACGTTGGAACAGCCATTTTGTGTTACTCCGACTGCCAGCTGTGGCTATACTAATTATTTCAGCATTGTATAAGAAAATAATGTAATTTTGGCATCCAAACAAGAACCAATAGCACTTTTGTAATTGTGGAAACATGTGTCATTTATGAAAAATCATTTATGTTCTTTTTATTCAGAATTGTTATTGATTTTCATGGATCAATTTATATTGTGAATGTACTTGGTCGATTCATATATACTGAGTACATATACATGGAATCATGTACATGTATCTGGCGCTCTAAGTTCTTAATTTTTGTTCCGTGTTCCGTTCTGAGGGCATAATTCCGCGGATCGGAACAAAATCGGGTATCTTTGACACCTTTAGTAAATATGCCAGCCATGGCTGTTCGATGAGATTTGCTACGCTTTGGCGTTGCTGTTGTCTAGTGTCATAAGACAGCGTGTCATGCTTATGATTAATCACATATCAAATATGAACTAAATTGCTTCAATGTCTACTTTTCAAGTTACAGCAAGAATGTCAACAAAAATTTCAAGAAATTCGCACACGTAAATGTAAATTTTTCAAAATGGCCGCCTCTAGCCAAAGTGTCATAAAACAGTGTGCCATGCTTATTAAAATTCACATGTCAAAATATGAACAAAATCCACTATGTTCCACTACTTTTCAAGTCACAGCAAAAATCATAAAATATGTATTAGAAATACTACTAAAATCCTTTTCTTAAATATCTTCATTTCTAGCTTTACTAATTAGAGGCGTTACCAGGATTTTGATAGCAGGAACGTGAGGCCGAAGGCCGAGCAAAACTAGGGGGATTTTAGACCTTAATGGTGTGTTCTGAGCGATATCAGACTGTTTAATGGGGCACAACTCCATCATTTAGGGTACGCAACTGCGTACCTTTGCGTGTGCCTGGTTATGCGCCTGCTAATTGACTGTAAAATCAGCACTAAAATAAACAAGTGGTCATTTTGAAAATACTGACGGTATTTGAGTTATCGCCTGGGTGGACGGATGGATGGAGGGATTCCCTATATCCCTCCGAACTTTCCTCCGAACTTTGTTCGATGGAATAATAATAATGTGTGTGTAGGAAGTAAACAAACTCTCAACTGAGTGCCTAGTTATTTCAGTGCTGCAGATATCATTGTACATCGGCCAGGCCCAGGTTCTAAACAATTGCTGCAAGAGTTCACATTGGATTAAATTAGCTAATACAATATTGCTCTATTAAAAAAAGTGTAACAGAAAGTTGTTCTAATTTCACATTGTACATTTTAGTCGATAGAAGTGCTACTACTTTTTTCATGGCCTGACTTCGTCGCTAAGATGCTAAATATAAGAGTTAGCTGACGTTTGGGAGTCTGACTTACCTTCTAAAGGTTAGAACCCGAATCTTAATGAAACCTTCAGACAAGACTTCAGGTAAGTCAGACTTCCAAACGTCAGCTAACTCTTACATTTAGCATGTTAGCGACGAAGTCAGGCCATGAAAAAAGTAGTACTCATTTATTCAGTATAATATACCAGTGATATGACATTCAATGTTGTATATATTTTCTTATGAACTAACCAGTACAGCTTGTGTAAATTTATTATATATTTTTTCTATGTTTGAAAACACTGTATTTTTGTTTTCTATTTCATGAAATATATTTTTTATTTCCTTTTGTGTACTAACCACAGCTGTATATTTATATCACCTTGTGGCCATTTTTCAAAACTATTCTACATTAATATTTGCATACCTGCCAACCTCCTGTATTTTTACTGGAATCTACCATAAAAGTTTTTCCGTAATAAATGACAAACTACCGTAAAAAATTTACTGTTTTTTCCCGTAAAAACGACCGTAAAAAAATCAACCGTAATTTTACCGAAATCTACTGTAAAATATTTTATTATAATTCTTATATAATAATTATAAAATATACCCTAAATATTTGAAAATCTACCGTATTTCTGATAGAATTAAAAGTATTCTTGTTCAAACTACCATAAAATCTACTGTTATTATTTGGAAATTCTGAAAAATTGAATTCTTCTCGTATTGTCCTTGTAATATTCCATTACCAACCCGAAAATAAATAAATGTCGGCAGGTCTGTGACAGTGGTTATTTCGTACTTAGTAAGTAAATAAGTAAGCTGGTGTGTAATCAGTCAACACTGGGGAGTATCGTGATGCAAAAACACAGTGTTCAACTACCACAGGTTCTACTGTAGTTATATAAACACTGGAATGTTCAAATTGTTAGTCTGTTTATGAAAGAATTCCATGAATGCTGTGTTAGAAAAACATACTTAATTATTTATTCATTGAAGTGTGTCAAATCTTCGCAAAATCAGTTTTTTAATATACTGCAAAAACTACCTCATTTTTCAAAATCTTCTGCAAAAACTACCGCATTTTTTAAAATCTACTGTAAAACTACCGCATTTTTTCAAAGTTTTCAGCAAAACTACCTTTTTTTCAAAAATCTACTGCAAAAACTACAGCATTTTTTCAAAATCTACCGTAAAACTACCACATTTTTCAAAATCTTCCGCAAAACTAGTTTTTTCAAAAATCTACAGCAAAAACTATTGTATTTTTTTTTAAATCTACTCAAAAACTACCGCATTTATAAAATCTTCTGCAAAACTACAGTTTTTCAAAAATCTACTGTAAAACTACCACATTTTTCAAAAACTTCCGAAAAAGTACTATTTTTTCAAAAATCTACCGCAAAAAGTACCAAATTTTTTCAAAATACCGTAAAATTACCGCATTTTTGTCGAAAAATACCGCCGCATTTTAAAAAAATCCACCTCAAAAATACTGCAATTCAAAAAAAACTACCGCAAATTTTTGGTCTTAGGTTGGCAGGCATGATTTGTGAAATTTAGATTTAGTTACTATTGCTAAATCAAATTTCACAAGTACTTTTGCACAATAAGCAACATGTAACTTCTATAAGCAATGTCTCATTGGTAGAAATTGTATACTCAGATTACTGTATGTATGTTACTTGTCATGGCCAATTCAATTAAATGTTGGTGATGGGTTATAGACTCAAAAGGCAATTTAGCATGCTGTAGTTTGTTATACATGTATAAGCTAGCAAATCATTACTGAAGACATTTATTATATTCATATGTACTCGGGATATGATATCAATATTCACATCTCAATATTCAGTATATTAATGCATTCCATGTGAGTTTTTCAAAGAAACTCCGTCTATATGTACAATGTACATGTATATAGAAGTGCTCAATTTATGTATATGCATGCATGGAGCATGGAAAACTTGTATTTAGGGAATTATTAGAAAATGTGTGGTCATTGTTTTGAGTTGGCAACTTGGAAGTGACAGTTCAAGTTCTTATTGTGTAACTCAATCATTAGTATTTCTTGCTAATTTGTATACATAATTAGTATATGGCAAATCGTGAATAACTATTATTGTATTTACCATTTGATTTTTGTTTCTATATTACTGTTTTGAGTGTGTAGTGCTGTCCCCAGCTCCGATTTCGGTGATCGGCTAGTAAAAAAGGTTTGAGGGTATCATTTTGTTCCAGACACTCTCTAGAGTAAATTATCCTAACTTGAGTAAAAATGTGTGGTAAGTAAATTCGCTATGGGCAGTTAAAGAGGCGCCATCTATTCATTTTAAAACAGGGGGTAGGGGTATAAAATAATTTTTAACACATCTTAATAGTAAAATGACATTGAAATACTAATAAAATCTTATCAAAAACATTATTTACAATCAGTATGAATTTTTTTGTGTGAATTAGGGTGAAAATAAGGGCATATTTTGAAATTCACTACAGGGGCGCCACCTATTTTCATACTTCGACCACGTGTAATAACTTATTTTAGATTCGTTAAGGTACGAAATGTACTGAAAAAATTCATTCTGAAGGACCTATATATGTTCATACCACATACTTAAAATTGGATCAATAGCTTTTGTACCTGGGGAGAAAAAAAATCTTGAAATTTAAAATTGTGGCATCATGCAGGATAGGGGTGACCATATCTCACATGATTAACTTCCAAAATATGGAGCATATGTATCTCAAATGTACTCAAAATGGTGCATGTACTCTTGCTTTGTCATAATATTACTAATAAGAAGTAGAAAAATGATTGTACAATTTTAAAAAATATTAATTCTCATTTTGGCTTCTGACGTCCCAGGGGTGACCATATCTCACCTTAATAACTTCCAAAATATGGAGCATATGTATCTCAATTGTGCTCAAAATGGTGTATGTACTCTTGCTATGTCATAATATTACTAATAAGAAGTAGAAAAATGATTGTACATTTTAAAAAATATTAATTCTCATTTTGGCTTCTGACGTTCCAGGGGTGACCATATCTCACCTTAATAACTTCCAAAATATTGAGCATATGTATCTCAAATGTACTCAAAATGGTGTATGTACTCTTGCTTTGTCATAATATTACTAATAAGAAGTAGAAAAATGATTGTACAATTTAAAAAATATTAATTCTCATTTTGGCTTCTGACGTTCCAGGGGTGACCATATCTCACCTTAATAACTTCCAAAATATGGAGCATATGTATCTCAAATGTGCTCAAAATGGTGTATATAGTCTTGCCTTGTCATAATATTACTTATAAGATGTAGAGAAATGATTGTACATTTTAAAAATATTAATCTTCATTTTAGCTTCCGACGTTCCAGGGATGACCACTGACCATATCTCACCTTAATAACTTCCAAAATATGTAACATATGTATCTCAAATGTACTCAAAATGGTGTATATAGTCGTGTCTTGTCATAATATTACTAATAAGATGTAGGAAAATGATTGCACATTTTTAAAAAATATTAATTCTCAATTTGGCTTCTGACGTCCCAGGTCTGACCATATCTCACCTTAATAACTTCCAAAATATGGAGCATATGTATCTCAAATGTACTCAAAATGGTGTATGTACTCTTGCTTTGTCATAATATTATACTAATAAGAAGATTATACATTCAAAAAATTTTAATTTTAGCTTCTGACATCCCTCAATAACTTCTAAAATTATGTAACATATACAACTCAAATATACCAAAAATGGGGCATATGGTCTTGCTTTGTCATAATGTTATTCATGAGATGTAGAAAAAATTATTAGACCTTTTTTGAATTGAAATTTTCATTTTAGCATCCGAATCTGACATCCCAGGGGCAACTATATCTCACCTTGATATAACTCTCACGATATGCAACATATGCATCTCAAATGCGTGCCCAAAATGGTATAAATATAGTCTTGTTTTGTCATATTTATTGAGATTCATGAAATCAGAAGTTCAGAATTTATGGATTGG